GAAAAAGAACTTTTTGGAATTACGAGAAATGACACGGGTCTCTTCTACTCGTTTAAAAGATCTACTCCGTGACAGTGAGCTGGATTTCGATGATGATGATGATAATGATGATGACAACGAAAATAAAAAATTGTAAGTCCTTTTGCTGAGTGATTGCACACTTTTCGTAATCAATTAGGAATTCATAATTATTGAGAATTAGTAACATTTAAGACGATATAATGATGCCCCGTACACACAAGCACACACACACACACACACACACATACACACACATACACACAAATACACACACTCACACACATCAAGAACATCTCAAAAAAGCGAAAGCGTTGCCAGGTGGCTCTCACTGAGCTGCTGTATCCTTTATCAGATCACAATTAGAGAAACAGGCCATAAATTTTTACGGATATCTCCAAATATTTTGATTACAGTTGCAAATTTAATGTTATTTTAGCAATAGTTTTTGTGCCATTGATTAAGTAATATCCTCTTAATTCCTAAATGTTTTACGAATTTGAACGATTTTTTACCGCACTCTATTTTTTTACGCGTTTTTACGCTTAAATCAATATATTGAAGCCATGTCTGGGAAAAATACCCGTCTCCATGCCCTAAAAAGTTCAACAGCAATTAGCCTATACCTTGTTATGTTGATTTAAGTTTTACCTTGGAGCCGTTGTTTTTTCAATTTTACGATGAAACAAAGCATAAGCTTATTTTGTTCATCATTTTCATTGAGCATGCTTCAGATATACAATTGAGGATCTACTGGGAACAGTGCAAATGAGCGAAGATGAGTTGCTGCAAGCACTTCAGCGCATGCCTGTTATTACTCTAAATGGTTTGTTTTAGTCGCTTTCATGCTAAAAACTTAACAAATTGGTTTTTTTCAAGGCGTTACGATTTAACGCGTTAAATCGTCACACCTTTCTCCCGCGATTTTTGACGTTATTATGTGGAACTATTTTGCTGCGAATTCATTACTATTTGCGGCAAAAACAGATTTAATTTTGATATTTCTGTTGTTGGCTAACTGTTTCTGTTCTAATAGGTTATTTGCGCCTGCTGTCAGCTAAATACCGCGATCGGCTTGTTACCGAACTGGTTGACTATTTGGACGATGATGAGGAGCCAGGCATAATTTTGGAATCAGTTGATGCTGTGTGTTTGGAAGAGGCCCTCAAGAAGAATTTTCCAAGCCGAAAAATCCCTTCGCAAGCAATCGACTGGCTTATTAAAGCTCACTGTGATATTGTTCTTGATGGTATTTTTCTTTCATTTTTTTTTCGTTCTTAGTAATTTTTGTCTGTTTGCTGAGCTTTTTTTTTTCACTTTTCTATTTTTGGAAGGTTTCCGGTTGCATGGTTGGAAAATCGCATTGTGAATTAGCAACTATTCCAATTGTTCCCGACTAGGCTTTTTATTCAAGCTTGACTTTTTACTGTTGGGATTCCTGATCGAAGCTGCTAAGCCAGTGCCCTAGAATTTTATGGTTAGTTTGTAAATTAGTGCCAGCAAAACCCAGTTTTTCTACTGCTATACATTCAGGGTAATTACTTTTTTACTGAAAAATACAAAATCGGTTGTTGGGGCACTAAAGCGCGGTAAATTGAAATAGTCCGTTCCCCTCCGTCTTTACCTTGCCCTCTCAGTTCCTTACCTTTAATTTGGAACTATCGGTTCCCAACATAACACCAATTCTCTGTTAAATTTCAGAAAATGGCACACAAAGATAT